TCTCAATATTCTTAATAGTATGAGAAATTTCATTTCTGTTGACTTTTTCAGTATCTTCTGCTGAAATTAACTCAAGTATCGCTCCAGTACTAGCAATAAGATTGCAAAGAATTTCAGGAAAATATTTAGCTGATAAACGTCTTTGATATTTGACCTCAATATAAGTCTCTACAGCTGGAGATGAATCGAGTGTATAGCAATCATTAATTTTATTCCATTCACGATGCCCTTTTATAGCAGTTGGTAAATCTCCAGGTCTCAAGGCAGAGAGTTCAGCACGAATGAGATCACGATTCGGTTCTTTGAAAATGCCAGTTTTTTTACTATTATAAAGAGAAATAATATGATATGGGCAATCGTGAACTCGATAAAACATTTGTGCAAAAGCTTCAGCATGCACTCCTGTATTAATATTACTTATTCCTATAATTGCGTCAAAATGATTGAAAATTTCAAAAGAGATGCCAGCTTCTATAGTACTTGTATAAATCACACAATCAAGACCACTCCAAGTAGCATTAATATCAGCAAAGTCATCCTGCCATTGCTTTCCATCCATTTGGCCAAAATAAACTCGTAATAAAACGTGTGAGCTGTCTGGTTTTTGCAATTTGAAAGCTTGGTTTGCCAAAGCTCGTGCTTTTTTGCATGAGATCATTGAAAAAGCAACTCGTTTACCTTCCTGAAGCATTTTAAGACCCCTACGTATAGTTTCTGATCCTTTATCTGGATCATAAAGAATTTTAACAGTTTCACCTTTACGTGGCTTATATTTGTTATCAAAAATTCTTATATCTCCACCTCGATATTGTCTCAAAAAGTTTAAAGTTGATTCGTTTGCAAATGCGTTCATAGAAATAACATGAACAGCTGATTTTAATAAATCCCGCATAGCATTTTCAGATTCACGTGCATGAACTCCACTAGACATTTAACGCATAATAGCATTATTTTCGTCTAAGATAACTATATAAGAATGCCTTCCATAGAAATTGAGACGATGTGTACTTTTGACTTGAACAATAATAACATCCCAGTCACGTATAGCTAAATCACCCTCATTTTCTTGATAATGGCATACACAGAGTCCTGAATTTTGCAATATTTCAACTTTAGCTTTAGTCTCATTGCTAAGAGTTTTATGATATGAAATCCAGTTAAAACAAGGCAAATCTGCTCCATTTTTGGCTAAGGAATCGAGAATTTCTCTTAGTGTTTTTGTTTTGCCACTAGCAACAGGTGAGCGAATAAGAGTTGTAGTGAGATTCTTGCTTAAGAAATCGGGGTAAGCTTCTGGTGCATCTTTCATTTCCTTTACATTGATGATTTTTCCAGATAATTCGACAAGTGGGCGTGGATTTAATACTGCTTTGGCTATTCTTTCATTTAATCCCCACTTAGGCTTTTCTTTCGACTCAACTTTGTCTGATACCTTACCAAAGCTCAGCCCCTTATGATCCGGCTTATATTGTTTTTGACGATAATATTTAAGTACGAAATACCCATTTTGACGAATAAATTCATAGAGTTGATCTTTATCATGCTTAACATCACATATGGGACATTCTTTAACAGATTGTGCTTGAAAGTTAATGAATCCCTTCTCAATTCTTCCAATCTGAAGCCACCCATATTCTGCAATAGCTAAATTAGCTCCTTTAACCAAAGCATCATCGTCATCAATAGGTTGAAATTCCGTTTTTACTGACTCCTCAGAAGAAAAGGTTCGTGGCCAGATCACGGAATAATTCTCTTTAGGCTGAACCAGATAATCATCTAGATTTTTAAATCCGTTTTTAACTGAAGAAATAGCCGGTCTTTTTATACGACCTTCCTTTGCTGATCCTAGAAGCTGAAGGTTGAAATGTGTTTTGGGAAGGCCATTATCAATAAATTTTGAATAAGGTTCCCCAACTAATTCCATAACCTTTTCTGTGAATCCCTTAAGCTCTCTATAATCTATGAATCGGGCGCGAGGATAAATAATATGCCAATTACATTTCTCAGCATTTGATGAACTAGCTAAGGCAAAAGAATTTAAGTAAGGCATATAATCGGGAATAAGACTTAATGCATCTGCACAAGCGACTAAAATTCGAGATAACAAATCTTCTCGTGTAATTTTTTTATTGTCTAAGGAAAATACTTCAGGATTTGTAGGGTCAGGCTTTTGCCTTGCATCAATATCAATAATCAAACGAAGAGGCTGGTTACCATCAATACATTCGTGAGTATCAGGTATTCTATAAACTTCAGAGGGATGATTAACCAATGTAAACTTTTCTTTTATTCGAATTATATAGTGAGAATAAATCTCTTCGGGCTGGTATGCGTCTAAAAGTGCAGTATCATTTCTATCAGTATGGCCATTGGATGCAAGCCAGTATTTATAAAATGTATGTTCTCTATGGCCAGGTTTATAGTCAAGATCCGTTAAATCCATAAAAAGCCTTTTTGCTTCATTATATTCGGCTGACTTCTGATTTAAGCACTGTTGCTGTAACGATTCATGAAGACGTTTTTTTGCTTCACTAGACAAACTCATTTATTGATTTGTATATATGCGTTGTTTGTATATGCCGTTGTTTGTATATGCCGTTGTTTGATCTGACAAAAAGTATATGTAGTATTATTTTGAAACTATATTATCGATAGATAAATCTTTAAAATAAAATTAATTATTCCAAAAATTTGATTGAAGTTTATTATATATACTTATGATGATATTATACAATTGCTCACAAATTCGTAGAACTGGAGAAATCTGTGGTCGAAATAGTAAATCAGAAAAATGTTATATCCATCATAAATCTCCAGTATATACTCTTTGTAGAGATTGTGGCGAGCCAAATAGGTCTAAATATAATGCATGCAATAAACATGTAGGCAAATATAAAAGTAAAGAGAATTACCACAGAAAAAAGCAGGATGAATTGCGTATACAAATTGCTATGTTTAAGAATCATATACCTGACTTACCCAATTCTATGCACGAAGTATAATCATATACCTGGCGTACGTATATATTGATTCTAAAATCTTCGATCTATTCCGTGTCTTGTTCGCGTCCATTTTCCGATAGAATTACAATAACCACGACCCATTTAATTTTTGATATAGCAATACTAATCCACGGATAATTAATTTCGATTTGAAAAAATATATTCATAGTTATAGTCCACACAATTATACCATAACAACAATGTCGAAAGTAGCTACAAATTTCATAGATCAGTATAAATTAACTCCTCAAATGAGTATAGCTAAGCTTAGTACTTATTCTGAAAAAATATGTAAAGAGTTAAAAGATTATAAAGCCCGTAATCATGCTCGGAATAGAATCCAAAAATTAGGATTTAGCAAAGATCAAACATATGCTTTAATTCCTATCCAGGCTTCCGGAAGGCGTGTTACAGGGCGAGACCCGATTGAAAAGCTCGCTCAATATATTAAGGAAAATGAAGATAATCTTGAACCCGAAGAGATAAATACGCTAGCATATAACTTAGCTAAAACAGCTCCTACTGTAATAGCTCAATCTTCACGTCTTAAATTGCTTCGAAAAAAATTGCGTATACTTAATGCTAAATATCTTACAATAGAAGCAATATATATACCCAATATTACTCAAAAATTAAATAAAGAACAAGCAATAAATCAGGAACTCCGTGAAGACGAGGGGTTCGATTGTCCAGAATTCTTTTATCTGAAAAATGTTCAGGAAAGACTTAGTAAGTGTGATATAACAAAACCTTCCTCTATGCAAAATTTAATCGATATAATGATAATGTTATGTATGAGACCGGCAGATGTGGGAAACCTCTATATTAAGTATTATAAAGCAGATACTACTGAATGGTATAATCCTAAATATTCTTGGTACTGCACTGGATATGCCAAAAATAAAAAAGACGAACCTAGACCATTAGTATCTATGGAGAAAGATCCACTACTAGCTAGAGAATTACTTATTTGAATTCAGAAAGCAATTCCTAATAAATTTCCATTTTTAATAAAAGATAAAGATGGTGATGTAAACGTCCACCCAATTAATAATTTTCTAGCAATTTATGGAATAAGCTCATCGCATTTGAGAAAAATTGGTTCTGAACATGCTATTACAATTCATGGAGGTAAGAACGATGCCCATCGTAAACGTCTCTGTCAATTGGCATTAAGACACAAGGTAATTAATATAGCATCAGATCATTACAGTGTGATGAATGACAGACCAATTGCTCCAACGACTAGAAAGAGCGGAGCTCATTGTTCCACAATAGAAAATACTGAGATATCAGATATTATAGATCTATACAATTACTAATCACGCTTCTTTACTTTTACCACATCTACAGTAAAATCTTCATCATCATTAGACGATTCAGAACTAGATCCAGATTCAATCTGAAAATAATTATAACCGCATCGTAACTGCAAAATTACATCACGTTATAACGGGCCTCAGGGGAGCGATGTCATGTGTTTTAAATCGACAAGTCAGAGATCAACCTGTGGGACATAGATAACCAGCGATAGAAAAAAATAGTTGGTTTGTTGATAATGCGTAACGTATCCGAAAAAATAGTGAATATCGAGTTGAATTGGTCAGACCTTCAGAGGACGTTCATATGTGCATTAGCACTAGCTCCGCTATTCGAAATCAGTAGTCTATGCTTTCACTGTTACTATGTGGATTGAATTTTGATAAGATTTCCAGCATTTGAGACGATAGGTTTTTGTATTAACATAATCCCCACTACCCCCATTCACCCTCTATATTATCTCTTATATTTTCTTTTTTATGATACAGAATAAGTAAAGTAATCACTATATCCAGTTTGAGCAATATAACAATTTATGAATAAGCTATGCATATAATCAATTTTATTACACATGATGCTAAGTCATTGTATTCAGCCATGTAAAGATTTATAAGGTTAATCAAGATTAAAGATTTTTCTATCAATAAACTCTCTAAATTTATATATTTTCTTAGGAATAGTGACTTCTGGATTTTCATCATACCATACTTCAAGAAGATAAATCCCATTAAGTTGACAAAGGGTTCTTTTCTTTTGATCACGGTTAACAATATCCTCGAGTTTTTTGACATCTTTATACCAGCTAGTGTTATGGAGCCGATGCTGAGCTCCTTGCACCTCTAATGCAATTCGATTACTTCGGAAGAAGGCATCAAGTTCTAATCCTTCCATAAAAGATGGACGATATTCAACTACGGGTTCCTCATTAAGAAGTATCTGGGCTATTAGAATACATTTTTCCTGAAATTTTCGATTTTTCTTAGATTCTAATTCTTTTTTAAGTTCATCTATATTCTGTTCTAATTTCACAACTCTAGCTCTAAGTTCAGCGTTCTCAGCAACAGTATCTGTCCTATTTTTCTCTAACTCATCGATTCTGCTCTTGAGTTCGGTGTTCTCTTCCATAGCCTGTCTTCCGTATTTTTTATACAAAGCATAGATCTATTCAAATTTCGATTTATGAGTTAGTACGTACACATTGATATCCATGCAATAAAGTATGTATAGATATCGGCATATAATCTTTTTATTATTCCGATGTACATACACGAGTTAAAAAACATAAGCCTTAAATGCGGACAAACTTTATTATACTAAAAAAATAACCACGACTATATTATAAGTAGATGAGAAACTTCCTATACCCGATAGAATATACATGTATATAACTGATAATTTCAGCATCACATTTGTATTCAACCGTATTTATACGTATAAGGAATCACTACCGTAAATGGCCATATAAAAGGCCCGGGGTATATTGTTCAGAAACTGGAGGGTTTTTTGTTTATCTTAAATTATTAGTAAAAGACCCGGGTCTCCTAAATTCTCAGATATGGGTATAATAGAGCCCGTGATTGATGCATGGAATAAACACAATGTTAACCTAACCTTTATGACTGCAATCAATCAAAATCACGTGCCAAGATTTCGGATATATAAATACTAATCTTTTTTTTCTAAAATAATTCCCTCTTACAAGGTCATGTCAAATTCTTCGAAGCAGAACATGCAAAAGAAGCTACAATGATATACCAAGAAGTACTTCATCATAATGAACCTTATCTCAGTTGTTGTTGGTATCAGAAGTAGTGGTGGTTTCTTCATCAATCAGAAATATTTTATAAATAAGTAAAGGGTAGACGTATTTAGCAAGTAAAGTGTGGGATATATATTTTTTATGCTATGACGCGATATATAAAGTTGGGGCTTAGTGGAAGTCATCGTCTTTCAGTTTCCCTGTTCACAAAAAAAGCTTCACTTTATATTTTTCTATCCTGTCATTCATTCGAGTGGGACATGTATAAGGAGAGAAGATGGCATATACTTGGTCGTTAGTATACATGATCGTGATCCATTTTATAAATCGACATCTTGGAATTAGTAAATGCAAGTTTGTAATCTCAGTTCGCGATTTCCTTTCTTAATAAAACCGTAAAAATTCAAGATATTACATGTACAAAAAGAAAATATCCCATAGGTTTATTTGCGCAAAAATAAATTGCATGAGCGTACACAGAAATAAAATTCTCAGGTTTAACGGATTTTCCAGAACATTCCATAAATATAGAGCGTTAATTAATTGTTATTCTGTTTTCTCAATACTAACTGCTGAATGCTGTATAGATCAATATTAAAGTTATTGGCATTTATCGTATTAGGAACCATCTCAACATATCCAGACACAACCAGAACTCCCGCAATGATCGGTGGGTTCCAGAATACATCTGACACTGGAATGCTAACTTGGTAGGCAGGAAGGTTTGGTGCATTGCACCCAGTTGCAACCTGAGATCCTTTCTGAAGAGTCCCAAAATCCCACACTCGGAATCCTCTCACTCCTTGGCGCCAGAGCTTAGCCTATACTCAAAAAAAACTTTTAAGTACAGAACCGCAAAATAATGAAACATGTGAGCAAGACATACCGTCATCGACCGATGATATTGTCCTTGTGAGTTCTTTATAGACCTTTTACCGTGAATCTTAATCCCAAACACGCATCGCACGTATTGCTGACGCATCCAACGCTGGCACTTAATCTCCCAGACATTGGTGTCTTGATACAAAGCCACCTCACATACTATCCTTGCATGTGGGTTTCCCTGTGAAATATATTAAAACGAAAACAATAAAAATTATACACCAAATCAAAAAACTTACAATTTTATCACTAGGAGGAGGTCCGGGATACGGAAGAGTAGGTTTCGGAATATAAGCCTCACTTGGATACACGGCAATGTCTGGTGCAATCTTTTCTCCATTTCCAGATGGACAATAGTGAACTATAGGATGAATGCGAAACTATTAGAAAATAGATTACAAGCCAAAGATCAGACTGGAAGGAATTTACTTACATGGTTGACCAATAATATCTATTGGAGGATTCAAGATAATACCACCGTTGGGAAGATTTAAATATTTTTGTAGTAGCGCAACAACAAACTCATGTTCTCCATCAGCCATATCAATAATGAATACGTCGCCGTTATCTCTTAATTGGAATTTGTATCCAGATGACTCACAGCGGTCAAGGAAAGCGTTGTAGTGTTCAACTGATACGTTTGAACCAATTTGAAGAGGCAACCTGCAATAAACCCAGTTAACACTTAACAAATATTAAAAAAATAACGTGCGTGATGTTTACCCACCTATTTTCATCGAACGGTTCGTCCGGTAATTGGGGAACCTTTAAACGTGCTGTATATTGAAAAGACATTCAGAATTAAACTCTTGATTGGCGTAAAATTTCATTTATCATGTTATACAATTATTACGTAATTGTCGATCAAAAATTTATACTTGCTTCGAACGAAACCCTTGATACAGATATAAACGAATTCGATAATAAAACCAGAAATTAAAGCAATCAAAAAAAAGATTCCGGTGATAGGTAAGAACTAAGTGATGCAAAAGAAGAGGCTTTGGATCATTTATGCAATTAGAAAGGTGAGTAGGTGGACGAAATGTACATACTATAAGTCCACCAAAAAATATGAAAAATCCTTCGACCATAAAAATCACAGCTCCAACAACAATGGCTGTTATGATGATCCAATATATGAAAAAGATAATCGGAATGCTGACGAAGGTGGCCACCAGATATGTGAACCAACGAACAAAAGGTTGGGGATCAGGCATTTTATCAACAAATTTATAAAAGTAATATGGGTCTGGAGCAAGTTAGAATCCGAAGAGAAAAAATTTTTTTGTAGAAAACTTGTGGTTTATATAGAATCAATCGTTACGTAGGCTAATATGAAATGACTACGTTACGTAGGCTAATATACTGATGACTGGCGCAATTTATCATGCGGTCACACGTCAATCATCTATATTACTCTAAAAAAACGCGCTTCTATGCTTAATAGATCCTAATGTTTTCTTGGATCTTCTCTGCCTCTTTTTATTTTGTTCGTCAAGTACTTCTTCTCTAGGTGATGATACCGTGGTACTTTTTTCGACGCGATGTGTCTTACTTGTGGGTACTTGCATTAACAGAGATAAATTAACGATCAGGATATTCTATTTAAAATAAAATTAGTTTTGATATACGTATAAATGAAATTTGGTGTACTAATATAAATACCCGTAAATTCAGCAATAACTCAAAAAATTCAGGTAAAGTTGATAAGGCTTGTTCGGACCACTGTATGGGAATTTGTGTTTTTTTCAGATGATAATATCGATGTGTATCAAGGTTATCCCTAATGAGTACATTCAACTGGATCTCGGTCCCTATAATATCATACCTTGTTATTAAATCGGTAAACAATGGACTAGAGTTCTAAAATATTCTTATCGCACCAAAACTTTACCTGCTACCTGAATTCCCACAATCCCAAATTGATCTTTTTCCGGTTTACAGCCTTGTCGTATCCAAAACATACCATCGTTTGTTTCCCTCCATAATTTTATTTCGTCTTCCCTTTTCTTGGTATCGCTACATAATAAACGTGAGCATTCGCCAAATACAAGCTCAAATATCTTACCTTCCCGTTTTTGTAAATACATGAAATCTGGCCGTTTTCCAAAATATCCATCCCCTTTCCTATCCGCGCTGGCAATGCTTTGTCGCTCCGCACTATAATAAATTTCTGAAAACGTGACTTTGATAGTGATAAATATAATACTACTTAAATAAAACGACTTACGTGCTGATAAATGCAGATTGCCTATATGGTAGCCCTTTCAACGATGCCCGAATCGAAGGGATTATTACATCTGTTACATACGTTCCCTCACTTTGTGTTTTCATAAGTTCCGGTCCAAATGCTGGATTCATCCAAACATCGGCCCTATAATCAAAAATATTATTAATTTAAGGATCTTAGAAACTTCGTCCATTTTGAAAATTACTTACACTACATCAAGAATATCCTGTGTAACTCCTATAAGGGTTTCATCCGACTCTTTCCATTTCCCATTATGCGTAAGTTTTATACATAAGTCGTCAGTATATTCTTCTGAAAACCCTGATACGAACTCATGGCATTTATCTTGGATCGAGTCTGGGAGTGTGACGACCATATTACGTGCTGGTTTCTGTTATGGAACAATTTATATAATTAAAACGTTAATTATGGCAAAGAAAACAAGCAATTCTTACCATAAAATTTTGATGCTGTTTAGGTGACAACTTTTCTACTACGATTGAATCATCACTTATGACTCGACTGGCTAGAGGATCTTTCCAGGTTAGGTTTGTAATGGAAATGTTTTTCACGTTTTGATAAAGTTCTACAGAAAGGGGAGATGAATCGCCCGAAAGCCTCCCTTGTAAATATCTTATATTTTTCTTTATCGTATCGTCATCAAGGAGAATTTGTTCACCCTTTACAAATGTATATTAGTTTATTTTCATAGATATTATTATAAAATTAATCCATCATACCGTATTCAACGCCTTGATATCACGTAGGCTACAGACAGTTTCATAGGCACATTCGAACTAACGCAGAATAATATTATGTTAGTCTAACTTTGTAATATATGTATTATCAACCCCATTTGCGCGCGCTATCAGAACTATCATAAAGTTGCCATCCTTGTTCGGCCGCCACAAGGACGATAACTTATCTAAATATAACTCCACAGAGACGAAACGCCCTTCACTACGTTCGAAGTCATAACTTGTACTTGTAGGCTCAGGCATTTATTTTAACTTTGTCAAGTAATGTCTGCGTTGTCATCATATGTATGAAAAAAATGTCTAAAAAAAAAGAATAGCGTTCAGAATCTTCACCAGCAATATTTTTCATGGACCGAATTGCGTTAATCGTCAACTTTAAGAGTTCATCTTTTGATATTGTTTGGTCTTCTTCTGTGCCTTTATAAATTACCGACCCTGCTGTAATATGCTTTACTGGTCCATCTTTCATAAAGTCCAAAATTTTATTGAATACAGTAGTCGACATATTTTAGTTGCAAAAGTTTTTGAGTAGAATGTTAGTTTGTAAAGAATTCACTATAAAGCGACGAACAACCACAACGTAATTATACTGTCCTTTTAAAACGTTCCCTCCGCTCATTTCTGATCTCATTTAGGTATGGGAAGAGTAGATTTAGGGAATGTGGAACTGGAGCGATGCAATGCACGACGAAAAAAACTTTTCACAAAGAAATTACATATGCCACGAGTTAGTAACAATCAGCAGGTCACACGATTACATCATGCATGCAGAAGTTCCATGACCTTCGATTTTCTTCTGTGATATAGCATGTGATATATGTTGATCGAACATCTGTATTACGCAAATTTTACTTTATTGATAGATATTACAAATGATGAATAGATAGAAGCGTAGGGTGAAGACAAAGAGGGAGGAATAAAACATGAAGACATGTCTGCCGGATCCTAGGCCCTTTACATTGTAAAGAAATGGCAGTTCCTTTTCCCACCCCACACTAGCTATCATCATTACCGTCATCATTACTATTGAATATATTACTACTACTTCCTATGCTACTAAAATAATTATCTTTCTTTTTTCCTTCTTTCTCGACCCAAGCTTCGATTTTGTCCAGTGAAGTTCTTTGAGGAGATTTCTGATGCCGATAGAAGCTAGCAAGTGTAGCTGGACTGAGATCTATCTCTTCAGATAAGACATTATACATTTTCGTAGGAGAGCGTCCTTCCCTCTTTCTTCTCTCGTTAAATAGGGTGGTAAATTCAACCCAGAGAGTCTCAGTTTCATCGGGGTATTCGGATTTGTGGCTTCTTACAGATTCTCGTCCTTTAATCGAAGATAGTACGTTAGTGCTGAAAACACATTAATGCAGAGTGGACGAACTTTGTCCGATATAACCACATTGCTACTGCAAATCAATAACTGAAATACCTTGAGACCGAATTTCACTTTTCCATTCTGTTTTAGTTCGCATTCTATTAATTTCATTGTTAAGCACCAAAAACGATTTTTTGAGTTTTTTTATAGATGGATCACTCGGGATCTGAGGCGACATTATATTTTTTCGTAGATATATGAATGCTATGGCGGGAATTATATATATTATTGCGTTTCCGGGGATAATTGTGTGGAGTATCCCCATAATCAAGATGTCCCGATTAAATAAATCATAGATCACGATTACAGTGATGAAAATAACGAGCAAAAAAATGTCGGATGAATTGAGTGACATGTTGTGGCAAATAAATTGATTTTCGGTTAATTGTTTGATCGCAATGATAATTGTTAAGGACGAATCTGCGAATTTATTCCTAGACAACACACATTTTTATATCAGTAGCTCGTAAAGCTATATCTCACAGTAAAGGCGATCAATATATCTCAATTTCACAAAACAAAGATGAATTAGCTTAGTTTCTTGTGCATCTCATGAGTATGGCTTCTCTTAACACGAATTATATCTGGTTTATTCTTTGTGTTCATGGCATTGGTTCTTCACTGGTGACTAGATTCTGTAATAATTAATTAACAGCAATTACAATATACGATTTACCGATCTACCAGTTATCCTTTATATTAACATTTCATGGTATTGGTTCTTTGTATTTTCATTAATCAAGATAATAAAATCGCTATTAATAACGAGGCTAGTGACAAGTCAAATATTATTTCTTTAACTCTGCTAATCCAGCAGTTTGATACACAGTATTTTGGTATATTTCGTGAATGGTGCATATTTTCGGTATCCAGTTACACAATTACGCATGTTCCACAAACTTCCATAACGATCTGACGTGATGGTGCCTAAAGATGGTGCAGCAAGTACGTGACGCTTATTTGTCACCCATTGCAACACGTTGCAATTCCAAAATTTTATAAGTCGCAACTAGTTGCAACTAGGTGATGCTTTATTTGTCACCACGTTGCAACAGTTGCCGTGCCATCTTTAATGGTGCCATATATCCCTATTGCCGGAAAATTAGCACAATGTTTGTAATACACCCGAAATAGAATCATATACTTGTACGATGTTTGTAATATGCCCGAAATAGAACCACATGCCCGAAATAGATTCCATACACCGAGAATAGATCATAATATATACACGAGCGATTGATAAGATCCTATATAAATACCAACACTTGAACTCGAGAGACTTTACTTCCCATACTTTAATATATGAAGTGCACTTTTTCTGAAGATCTACCATATCGCAAAATGACACGAATCACAAACAGACCCTTTAAAATCAACACTCTAAACTATATCCTTATGACCCGTTATACATATCCATATCCTCATCTCTCTCATTTTCATCGTAAATACCCTACAAAATATGACGAATATGACACTCTTGAAGAGATGGTTCGAGAATCCAATCCCACTAAAATTGAATCGTATATTCATATTGTATAAGGTTATTAAATCTAATAGGTCCAAATCCCTAAATACGACATAATCTCTAAAAACACTATATAATACGCTAAATTACTTAATCGTTAAATATGGTCTATACAGATAACTGCCCAATTTTGAGCAACACTGAATGGAAAGATAATTGTCAATTTCCAGTGATTCGTAAATGTGAAACTCCATCCGATTGGAAGAAACGAATCTGGGATCAGTTAATGAACTATAAAGATAGTGATCGCTTGACTGATGATAAAAAGCGTTATCTTATTGCTAGAAAAATGGTGTATTTACATGAAAGTGATCTTGGTCATGCTGTAGGTGTAAGTATAGCAATCTGTTATTCATGTAATAAGCTTGTTTATTCTAAAATAGGACGTGGGTACGAGTGTGGATTTCGTAATTTCATGAATGAGCATTGGAGTACAAATTGCACAGGAAATGCTTATTGCGATATTAGCTATGAAGATTATATTAAGCTTAAAAATAAACCTGAAACTGTACTTACTTTTTACGAAAAAGAGGCAATTCATCGATATGAATTATGGATGACTAATGCTATCAAGAAGGTTAAGAGTGCTAGAGAAGTCGGAAAAAAAATTCGAGCTGTAAATATCATAGCACAAAAATGGCTCGAATATATGTATCACCCCGATGGTATGACTAAGGTTGCTTGCCGAAATCCCTTAGTGACTGTCTAAATTCTGTCGAAATTATAATAAACTATTAGTAAATAACCCGTCGAAATTCTGACGAATTTTGAAACCCGTCGTAACCGAAATTATGTCAAAATTCTAATTAACAATTAGTGTGTAACCCGTCGAAATTATGACAATATTTTTCTGAAAGGATTTAGGCAAGCATCCTTAGGTATGACGGCTGAAGAATTAGCTCAACATTACCAATTATTATGGACAGTTCGAGAAGAAATGCGACAAGTTAACAATGTATAATACACATATCTATTTATTATATAACTTATATCTATTTAAAATAAAATTATCTAAGGTATCCCTGAGGGCTGGTACTTTAGACTTTTATTCACTGCTATTTCGTGATGATTAATAGCTTTTTTTATTGATTTTTATCCATATATATTTCATATTTTTGCCTGCAAACTTTTTGCGCGCAAATCAATAATCAATGTTTCATCCTGATTACAACCCCATTATAGCGAAGCTTCCAAAAAGTCTGGTCAAGAGGGCGTATCATAGGCTTTTATATCACTTTAGGTCTTCCGTTACATCAGAGCAAATTTCTGAAAAGTGCGATTGAATTGAAAATTATTTGCACCATACATTAGAGGTATATGAAAAAGGATTAAATAGGAAGCGTAAAAAACA